GAACTTTATATTACATTTTTAAATGAGCTGCATAGGTACAATACCTTAAATAAGAGTAGAAACATATACAGTATAACAAAAATAACCTTAAATTTGTATCAATATACAAAAATCCATACCAATGTACAATATTCGAGATGAATAGTTATCTTTTTATCCTATATGCCTGTATCCACAGTAAATGATGACAAATATCCATAACCCACTGAATGACCAAAAGCCAGCCACCCCACCTCTTGGGACTGTAAGCGTTGTGTTCTCTAGACTGCTTCCTGCTGTCTGGGGGTGAAAAAATCCCCATGGGACCCTGAGAAAATTGAGATAATGGTCAAGTCCTAAGAAAACTAGCTATAACATTTGTTGTCCAGTTTCTGTGTAATGAGAAAGTGTGAGGCTTATTTGAAGTTCTGGCTAGAGTAGTCTGTGAGGCTAGACCATCTCAGCTAGCAGCCTTGAAGTTTTTCTGAACACAGAACTTTGAAGAAACTGCAACAGAGGCACTCTGAAAGGATGGATCACCTGGGCCATACATTTTCATTGGTGTCTGGTCCTCTTGCTCTGAAAACACACAAACTTTCAAAGGTAACATACATATCTGCATTAACACAAGTATGAACTGTGCATTGTACACAAGACAGCCCAAGATAATTTTTTGTTTTATGTTTGAGCAGGTAAAAAGACACCTGTAAACTTTATAAGTTTGTTTGGGCTGTATAACCAAACCTCTATCCAATGCCATATGAAAGGATGGCATATAATAATAAGTCATGAGGATTCTATAATCAACAAGATTTGTCATGTTTCATCCAGTCTTACAGCTGTTCCCATGCCAAGGGATAAGCATATATGTCACCTGTCTTGTAGTTTTTCTAGGTTTATTTCTTTATATCTTTAGCCAAGATTTTCAGGGGGTCTCCCCCAATCAAATCTGGTCTCTATTAATTTTGAAGGAATCCATGGTCTTTCATTTCCTGTAGAAACAAAAGCATAACCTCTCTCCCAACACAATTCATTTTCTGATTTTCATTTTAAAGTTAAGAAATCCCTAAAGTATCTAGGATGGTTTAATCCAGCAATTCCTTCTACAATCCCATGTCTCTCAGCAGCTGCCATTCGCTCATCAGCATTCAAAATATTCAAAGTCAACAAAGCACCATACAGGATCCAGACTCCCTGTGTATTTCCCGTCTTTATGTGGCTTATTCTTTTTCTATTATTTTACTCTTTCTTTAAAGACTTTACTTAATTATTCTTAAACTATTTGTTTTTTCCTATGACTGTCTATGCCCATTTTTTTTCCTTAAGCACCTATGTACACTGTAACCTATTTAAAGTTTTTCCCCCCATGGTAGACCTGTTTTGTTGTGCACCTGTAGCATTCTCTGACTGTCTGAGCCAAACCTTAAACTGCTAAGTAGTAGTTAGGTCCTCTGCCATGTGACTTTGGCAGTTGGGTCTGCCCCCTCCTTGGGTCCTTGAGAGCCAAGCATTAAGCACATGGGCCTGCCCAAGAGCTGTGTTTAACCTCCCCAGCTCTAGGAAGTTGGTGCCTGTACTGTTGGTGTTTTCACTTCACTTTCTATTTCTATTAAACTTGCTGGCTGCTCAAGGGCTCTGCTACACAGCAGTACCTCTTCGGAGCAAAATTCATTTTTTTTTTTTGTTTCATCTTTCTTAGGCTCTACGTGGAAATTCGGGCTCCATGTTGGTGTCACTTCTCTGAAGAGATAACATTTAATCACAGACTAGGAGAATGGGGATCATGATAAAAATGGAGGGAAGGGCTGGAGAGATAGATCAGTGGTTAAGAGGAGCAGCTGCTCTTCCTAAAGACCAGTGTTCTAGAGAGAGGATCAGATTCCCAGCATCCACATGGCAGCTCACTCAATCATCTGTAATTATAGTTACAGGGGATCCAGTAACCTCTTTTGGCCTCCTCGGGCACCGTGCACACACATGACACACAAATGCACATGCAGGCAAAATACACATAAAAAGATAATTAAAAAAAGAAGAATGGAAAAGAGATCATCTGAGATATTCTGGCTCCATTTCTAAAGTCACTTTAATGTTATATTTTATGATATGTCTTCTGGCTAGAATCTTGGAGAAGTTGTGTGCTGAGAAGAAAATAAAAAAACCTCTTATTTTCCCAAGGCTTAGTGAAAATCTTACACCTTTAGGATCTACCTAATGTTCTCAAGATCTTGAGACACAACAGCCCCAGGGATTGTTTGAGGAACTGAAAGGACGTCTGTGAGTCTGGAATACAGCAGTGTGGGGAAGATTTATAGAGAATGGAGAATAAGGACATCATATTACAATTTATTCACGGTTCTTACGTACAATAGTGAAAGAGTTTCTTTCCTTGCACCCCTCAAGACAGTAGAAAGCTCTTAGATAATTTTAGATGGGAGAGTGATCTCATCTGATTTCTATTTTAAAGAATTTTACTTCCATTTTTAAAACTGGAGGACTTTAAAGAATAAGGATAATTTGGCTACTATGTGGGCGACTAGAGAGAGGCCAAGAGGAAGCAGTGAAGCAAGGGGAGAAGCTATTGCTCTGGTTTGTATAGGAGATTATGATGTCCTGAAAAGAACGAACATGGGGAGAAACAGAGTCAGATATACTTAGGAGACATAAATAGTAAGTCTTGTCAATGTATTGTAAACAATATAGAAAAACAAAGGATAGCACTGCACTTCCTGGCTTGAACAACAAGATCAATGAGATCTCTCATGTGATGGGACTGGAAAGATTTAGATAGGACTAGAAGGAATCAAAAATTTGATTTCAGATTTCTTCAGATTTCTATTAGAGGCATTAGAGAGGCAGTTGGATATAGGAGATTACAGCACAGAGGGGGATAGGAACCTTAAATACAAATCTATATCTCATTAGTGTATTTATTTATAGGTTTATATTTTTGTTTTTTTGAGATGGTTCAAGGCTGTCCTTGAACTTGTTATGTAGCCCAGGCTGTCTTTGAACTTCTCCAACCTTCTGCTTCAGCCTTCGGAATGTTGGGATTATAGGCATCTGCCACCATGTTCAACTTATTATCCTATTTAGATGGTCATTATGCCCTCAAACAGGGCTGAGACTCTGAAAGGAGGGTGTAGGGATAATAAAGAAAGTCGCAGGCCAAATCCCTCACACATATGGGTGAGGAGGGCCGTGCAAAAGAAGTTGGTCAATGGCAAAAAGAAAGGTCAAGAGAATGCCGACTGCCGTGCCTGGTGACACCTCTGCGAAACACGGAAGGCAAGAGGAAAAGAAAATCTCTGACTCCTGTTTTGCCTTTCTAAAAGTGAAACACAGATTTGCAAAAGCAAACAAAAAAAAAGGTTCGTACGCACACTAGGGAGAATAAATAATAACCATTAGAGGACAGCTAACTTTGCACTAGGCTTGGACTTGAATCTATAGTAACAACCTGTACCAACCAGTTGCCATCTGCCATTTAAGCTGCTGTCCTTGGGGACTAACAAGTTCATTCCTTTGTCTTATCACTTGTCTAAAATTCACTGCTCTCCATTGAATCCTATGAAATCCAATTTAAAACCATTTCTTTAGGAACTGTCCATTCCCTTGGTGTTTCTATGTATATATGGAATGCACATGCTGTCAAGCTGTTTTCTCTCATTTTGAGCCATCTTGTTACAAGAGCCTAATCCTACACTAAGATCCTGTGGGGTTTACTCTTCTCTTGTATGACAAAGCAACTCCTGAGTCACTGTTTCAAGAAGGAAGTGATGAATGTTTCTGAGGGGTTTGATAGGATAGGAATCGAAATGTGACCCTTGGTTTGGGAAATAGTCTAGAGAACTTGGTGTAGGCAATGTTCAAAACAGTGCTCAGGGACACCAGAGAAATTGTAGGAAGCAGGACATGGAAATAACAGATGTGAATGAACAATCCTAAGATGCAAATGAACATAACAAGCTGTTTGACTGAACTTTCTGTGAGTTTCAAAAAGCAGACCCAGATGCGCAAACTCTCTTGTGGTGTCAAAAGGTTCCAGTGTTCTGGCCCAAGGGGTCACTTTTTCAGGTAGACCATCGCTCTTCCTCTCCAGCTATGGCTTACCTTCTGAAGTCACTATGACATCTTAAGGAGTATCTTCCAACTTGGTTGACTCTTGGAGAAGCTTTGCACTGGAGCCCCCTGTGGCTACACGATCATCTGTGGGCTCGGTGCTGATGTCACTTTACCTCTAGAACCCCACATAACCTTCTCCAATAAAATGAATAATTTTCTTCTTTCAAGTTCCACAGTACTTCACATGTGCCTTGGTATATAGACTGTGACCACTCTGGTAAAGGAGGCTCAGTTTGGAAATGAAATTAACTTGCAATATTTTATCCAAACAAATTGATTCAGTATACGGCAGGAATCCATCCTCTTCTATTATGGAGTAGTTTCTGTACCCCATTTCTTCCCATCTCACTTCTGTTCTGTCCATAGAATTAAGACGAGTAATTAGTTTAAACAGTTCATCTGTAGTTTGGCAGAATTAAGAGTGAAAATTAGCTAGGCGGTGGTGATGCATGCCTTTAATCCCAGCACTCAGGAGGCAGAGGCAGGTGGTTCTCTGAGTCTGAGGTCATCCTGGTCCTACAGAGTTAGTTCTAGGATAGCCAGGGCTGCACAGAGAAATCCTGTCTCCAAAAACAAAACAAAACAAAAATCGTGAAAATAAATGATAATAATCCATACACTGAAAGTAGCATTTTCTGCTTTAAGCCTGTATACTTCCTGTCTTGTTCCCAGGCAAGCTACTGCAGCTGTCTTATTTAGGAAATTCTTCACAAAGAGTTAAAACCATGTCGTTAGAAAACTAGTTTTGTGGGCCCTGTGGTAAGAAAATCTGCCCTGCTAATTGTTTCCAGACACTGGCTTCCCCCTCAGGCTTGAGGGCAGTTCGTCCCACTTGTGTGTGTCGTCAGGGAAGGCATACATTCACTGTTGTTGACGTGTGGTGTTTTGTCTTTCAGAACCTGAGGCAGGAGAGGTGTCCCCTCCAGTGGGTGCTGGGGTCAACAGCAACAGCTGGACCTTTAAATACGGACCAGGCAACCCCAAACAGTCCGGTCCCGGTGAGTTGCCAGACAAATTCATTATCCCAGGATCTCCTGCAATCATCTCCATCCGGCAGGAGCCTGCTAACAACCAAATTGACAAAAGCGACTTTATAACCTTCGGCAAAAAGGAGGAGACCAAGAAAAAGAAGAAAAAGAAGAAGGGTAACAAGACCCAGGAGAAAAAAGAGAAAGGGAACAGTACAACCGACAACAGTGACCAGTGAGGCCACCAAACGGAAACAAGCCACTTAGCCAATTTTTGTAATAATGGCAAATCTCTCCCATGTAGCAACTCCCTGCTCCTTTTTCCTATGATATGAGCCCTCTTAGAGACCTCAGAAATCTGCAGAAAGTTCCCTGTGTCTGTCTTGATCACATTTAACAGGTTTTGTCTTGAAAAAAAAAAAAAAAAAAAAAAGCTTTCCTAAGTCTGGTGTTAACTCTTTCTCTCCGCTCTGGCTTGTTTTCAGAACCTAAAAAGCAGACCCAAGTTTCCTTTCTCCTCCGCCGCAAAGGAGAGCCTTCCCAGCCCCGCCAGTGAGAGTTGGACTCTCTGCCCTGTGCTTCAGGCATCTTGATGACATTTGCAGGGCAGGCTGAAAGGTATTCAGGTTGAGCAGCTTGGGTGTTTGTTGTCACTGGGTATGTGTAGCTACCATGAGTGTTCAAGAGCCTGATATTGGTTGGGGTGGTCCAGGTTAGACTAGTTGACGCAAGAAGGGCCGGGAAACAAAGACACAGAGACATTGGGAGGGGGAAATGTGAAACTGAAAGGGACCAGACTTTCTCAATTTCTTAATTTGAGGTGTGGTGGGCATCTTCTAGCTGACAAAACCACCCCCACTGACGAAGCTTTAGGGGTCCCTCAAGTCTGTTGGCTGTAGTACCACTATACTGGAAACCTGCTTTATGCACACAAGCCAGAAGTTCAAGTGTCTGACAGAGAGTCAGCCAGGGCAACAGAAGCAGATCTGATGTGTTTCCTATACATGTCCTTGTGCTCACGCTATTAAAAATTCTTTTGCACACAATGTTTATGAAAAGGACACATCCTTGTCCAACAACACATATGCAAAAGCAAAAGAAAAAAACCCCAACACCTCACTTTATGCTGTTTGTTGTTTGATAGATTTATTAAAAAAGAGAAAGTCTATAGCTATAAATCTTTAAAGAAATATGAATACAATTCCCCCAACTCCCCTCAAAAGAATCCAGTCTACAGCCATTTAAAATGATCATTGCTGCTACAGAAGTGCTTTAAGAGAATTGCCTGGAACATCTGTATTATACTATACCGGCCACCTGCCAATCACAGCTTTACTCTTTCAGGTCACTCTGGGGCTGCCTCTTGCATGTATTAATTACTAAATAAAAGGACCTTTCTCTCTCTCTTTTCTAAGAAAAATGATGTGCACTTTGATTACACAACCTTCTCTAACCCACTCTATCAAGACCCAGAAACTGAAGAAAAATATCGTTTTCTCATACATACAGTGAGCAGATTTTTCATTCCTCTGATCCTGTGATTGTCTTGGTGTGCTAGCCTACACCTTCGCCTTGTTTAGTTTTCCTTTTCTATAACACTCTGAATTGCTAACCTTACTAACACCTATGATGTTACCTGAATCAATCTCCCATATGTATGCTGTATGCTATTATAAGACTCCTGAGATATACTTACTCTGTGCTTGTGTATGTGAATGTTAATGCAACTATTACCTAGAGTGAACTTTAAGCTTTATTGTTGAATGTAAGCCCATTATATTTCCTTTTGTACACCTGTGGAAAAGTGAAATAGTGTTTTTTTTTTTTAAACCATTGTTAATCAGCTTTTGTGTATGAAAGACACAGTAAAATTTCTTTCTTAAATCAAGATGCTGGTGATTCAAGGAATTTTATTTATGGTCAGCCAAGGGCTGTCTCTTGCCAAGATTCCTGCTGGCAAGGGAATGGATAAAGCTGCTTTTTTCTAGTAACAGTTCTGGAATGAATACCGAAGAAAGTCCCTGAGGGTATGCAAGCACAAAATTGTACCAATCTGACCTCTTTGAATTTGCAGATTGCTTTGAAATGCTATCCGGAATATCAGCTCATAGAAAGTAATAAAATTTACTGTTACCATAAATAAGACATTTTAAGTTTGTTGTGTACAACTTAGAAGTTTGATTAATTATATTATCTATTTAAAAGTTAATATAAAAGAGGTAGGAGTCTGTTTTAAAAGGCATAAAATCTAAAAAAAAAACTGTCTTGTCTTTTAGCTTCATTCTCCCATATTTTGAAGGGTGTGTAACTTCAGCTCTGCAGGATTGCATGGGGTAAAACTTGTTGACAACACATGTGAACCATTGCTACATTGTAGGTTGTGATCATTTTGCCCCACTGAAGCCCATGTAACTGACCTTACGTGCCTTTTGAACTAGGAGAATCGGGCTAATTTATTAATGATGATAACTATAATGTATATGTACAGCACTTTTTAAATTTATGAAGTGCTTTCCAATTCGTGTTAGTTACTAGTTATTACAGCTGTAAGGATAAAACACGTCATGTGGATTCATTTTTAATTGGTGCTATTGGTATTTCCTCTGTTATTGCTAATAAATGGAAACGGTGGTGTGAAAGCAATGGTGGTCATTTCTAAGTGTAAGAGTAGGAGAAGACGGGACACTGTTGATCATTAGCTACTACTGCTGAAGAGCATCTGGCTGTCACCCTGGTTTTTATGTTTATCACTGAGGCAAACGAGGATGTAATCGAGAATCACACTTCACAGCCAGGGGGCTGATGGTCACTTCCCACTTTGCAATTTCAATCTGAGAAGAACTGCAGCAAATCAGTTTTAATCACTAGAGACCCCTTCCCCAGCCATCTTATTTATTTGTTTAGCCCTTGCACCTCACTACAATTAGGAAGCCATATAATGAGGTGCGCGTGCACACACACACGTGCACACACACACACACACACACACTCACACACACACACACACACACACACACACACACACACACTGCCCCCACAAATGAACTTTTGTTGGCTGTAGAGTACTTAACAGCTACCCTCCTGGGTGAGTTCAGCCCAGGCTGCTACATATTCTGTAACAGGTATTATCCTTTTGAAGTTAAATTTTGATGAATGTAGACTTTAGATATGGCATTTCTCAGTGTGGAGTTTTACCCTGGGGGACATCAGTTTATGTCAGGAGACATCTTGGTCTTCTTGGTACTTGAAGGCCAAAGTGCAGTGGCTTTTAGTGGGCAGAGACCAAGGGCACTACTCAGCACCCCGCAGTGCGCAGGAGAGGCCCCCACCAAAAATGAGCTTTCTAGCCCAGAATGTTAATTGTGACAAGAGAGGGGAACCTTGAGAGAGGGAGTGAGCATGTAGCTTGTTTAGCTCCCTTTTAAAGTCATTAATAACCCCTCCAAGGCTTCCACAAGGACTGCAGCCACTGACTGGGGTTTGGAGGGACTAAGTGTGTTAGTAACACAACATTTCTCTGTAACTTGATGGGGGTCTAGCAAGACACGGCTCCCAGTTTTCCAGTCTTAGTCTCCTCACCCCCAAAGCCATGAGCTCTTTAGTGCAGGCCTTGTATCTGTAGGGAAGATTTTTATCAAGATCGTCTTCAAAAGGTTTAGTCACAATTTTGGCCACATTATGTGCTCAATAAATAGTTATTATTATCAACAATCCTTTTCCTTACCTCTTTTTCTTAGAACCTTTAGGCGGGGCTGAGGCTTATTCATCAAAAGCGGTGCACACCTTTAATCCCAGCATTGGGAGGCAGAGGCAGGTGGTTTGAGGCTAGCCTGGTCTACAGAGTGAATTCCAGGACAGCCAGGGATACATAGACAAACCTTGTCTTAAAACAGCAGCAGCAACAACAACAACAACAACAAAACCTAACCAGTGTGAGATGACTCAGCAGGTGCAGTGAGATGACTCAGCAGGTGCAGTGAGATGACTCAGCAGGTGCAGTGAGATGACTCAGCAGGTGCAGTGAGATGACTCAGCAGGTACAGTGAGATGACTCAGCAGGTACAGTGAGATGACTCAGCAGGTGCAGTGAGATGACTCAGCAGGTGCAGTGAGATGACTCAGCAGGTGCAGTGAGATGACTCAGCAGGTGCAGTGAGATGACTCAGCAGGTGCAGTGAGATGACTCAGCAGGTGCAGTGAGATGACTCAGCAGGTGCAGTGAGATGACTCAGCAGGTGCAGTGAGATGACTCAGCAGGTGCAGTGAGATGGCTCAGCAGGTACAGTGAGATGACTCAGCAGGTGCAGTGAGATGACTCAGCAGGTGCAGTGAGATGGCTCAGCAGGTGCAGTGAGATGACTCAGCAGGTACAGTGAGATGGCTCAGCAGGTGCAGTGAGATGACTCAGCAGGTACAATTAACCACTTGTGATCTGAGTTCAGTCCCTGGGATCCACTATGGAAAAAGAGAATTGACTCTCAAGAATTATCCTCTGACTTTCATACATGACCTGTGGCACATGTGTGCACGCGCGCGCGCGCTCACACACACACACACACATACACACGTACAATAATAAACACAAATTTAAAAAATTTACTCACATCTCTGCTCAGCCTTGGACGAAAAAGTCCCATAGCACTTTCTTTATTTCTATCGGGAATAAAAACCAATTCTCCAAGTAAATAGTTAAATGATCTATCTGTTTACAGCTGTTTCACCTTATTGATCAGTGATTGAAAACACCCTGGGCTTGAAGTCACCTTCACATTCGAATGTATTGAACTCTAAGAGTAAGAATAGCATAAGAGCGTAAGTCACCAAGGCCTGCGGTGACTTCTACAGACGGGTGAAAAGCAGAACCAGAACATCTTAGATTTGCCTAGACTCATACAGGCAGTAAAGGACAAGTCGGGATGAGTCCCTTTAAGTCTACTTTGTAAAGGTCTCCTACATAGAGTGAGAATTTACCCATTAAGATAGCAGTTCTCAACCTGTGGGTCATGACCCATCTGGGGAGGTCTCATATATTCTGTATATCAGATATGTACATTATGACTCAAAACAGTAGCAAAATTACAGTTATGAAGTAGCTTAATTTTATGGTTTGGGGTCACCACAACATGAGGAACTGCATTAAAGGGTTGCAGCATTAGGAAGGTTGAGAACCACTGCAGTAATACTTGCAATTAGGTTGGGCACAGTGGCCTTTAATTCCAGCTCTCAGGAAGCAGAGGCAGGCAGATCTCTGTGAGTTTGAGGCCAGCCTGGTCTACATAGTGAGTTCCAGGATAGTCAGCTACATACTTAGGCCCTGTCTCGAAAAAAGAAAGAAGGAAGGAAGGAAGGAAGGATGGAGGGAAGGAGGGACAAAAGGAGGGAGGAAAGAAGGAAGGAAGGAAGGAAGGAAGAAAGAAAGAAAGAAAGAAAGAAAGAAAGAAAGAAAGAAAGAAAGAAAGAAAGAAAGAAGGAAAGAAATCACAATGAATCTTCACTCTAAAGGATGAGATTTCCCAGTGAGTGTCTAGAGCTTGGCTGCGGGCTGTTAGACTCCTAGATAAGACTGAGTCCTGGGATCTCATGATAATGAATTTTTTTTTAAGTTTAAAGCAGCCCTAAAGTACAAACATAACTGACCAAACATAAACTCAATTTTTGTGTTAAACTTAGATTTTTAAATCCATTGAAACACCAAGACATGTATTAGAACAAGTAAAAACAAAACAAAACAAAAAAAACCAGACAAACAGAAAACTATAACGATATCAGGGCAGGAAAGTGGAAACTTCCTTAGGAAACAGCAAGTTGGTCACTCCTAGCCCTATTTAATCTCATTGTCACGTGTTTCCTCCCCGGGTAGAAATGATCGCATTATTTCCCCTGATTAACTTGACGGCTGACTGGCACGACACAATGCAGCTTGCAGCTAAGATATCCCCTTTTACTCAGGCATAAGTGTGTGAACATGCACTTGTGAAACACACACACACACACACACACACACACACACACAAGCACCTTTTGTTATTAAGTGCACTATAGCAAATGAGTGTGGTGCTATCCTGCCTTTGGTACACAACAACTCTATTGTTATACTAGTTAGGTAAAATTTTTGTTCGTTTCTGGTTTCTCCTGAGGCTGATCTGTGGGGATCATTTGGAGCTACTGAAATGTGAAACACTGAAAATCTTTTACCTGAAACAACCTCCAGGCTTGCAGTTTTTTTTCTTTCCCTTAAGCTCTTTTAAGAGGTACTAGAAGATTTAATTCCACAATGTAGTCTCTATCTGCATAAAGAAATGGGAAATTAAAAATGGAGAAAGGTAAACGAAGATGTGAGATAATGAAAAATAAAGTTCAGTATTTCATTGTTACAAAATTGTCGTATGACATGCAGCTCTCTAGCCACAAAGGTGACAAGCAGTTCCTGTAAACATCAACCAGTTTAAGAGAAGAGCTGAAAGAAGTTAACAACGGATACGTAAGTATGTGGGAGGATTCATTACATAGCTCCCATTTTTAGGTTTTGCTTCTACTGTGTTACACTGATTTTATGTGATATTGAACTTCTATTATGGAAGTCACACATGTTCTTTTTAAATAAACCAAGCAATCCAGAGGTACATTTAAGAACATCAGAGACTCATTAGATGACTCAGCCAATAAATGTACCTGTCGCCAGACCTGAGAACCTGAGTTCAGTCCCCAGTACCACACCCTAAGAGGAGAGCACTGACTCCCCCAGGCTGTCCTTCAGTGATCACAAGCATGCTGCCCATGAACAAGTGTAATCACGTTTTAAAAAGAAAAACCATTACACAGACAACCAGTGTAAACTGTTTGCACATTTACCCTCTGTGTATGCATCTGCACATATCACACGTAGGCTAAGTTGTTTTCATTTTAAGTAAAAATAAAAAATAAAAAAATACTGTTTCCCCATAGGATTTTTAACTGATAATAACACAGAGACTTCCTCAAGTCCCATAAAAATTCAGATCTTAGTGTATTCAGATTTTCCTTTATTAATGTCTGGGTTATGTCTAGATTTTTTTTTAAAATTTTGCAGTACAATTCAGTTCTACATATCAGCCATACATTCCCTTGTTCTCCCCCCTCCCACCCCCCTCACCTTTCCCCCAGCCCAACCCCCATTCCCACCTCCTCCAGAGCAAAGCCTCCCCCAAGGACTGAGATCAACCTGGTAGACTCAGTCCAGGCAGGTCCAGTCCCCTCCTCCCAGGCCGAGCCAAGTGACCCTGCATAGGCCCCAGGTTTCAAACAGCCAACTCATGCAATGAGCACAGAACCAGGTCCCACTGCCTGGATGCCTCCCAAACAGATCAAACCAATCAACTGTCTCTCCTATTCAGAGAACCTGATCCAGTTGGGGACCCCTCAGCCATTGGTTCATAGTTCATGAATTTCCATTCATTTGGCTATTTGTCCCTGTGCTTTATCCAACCTTGGTCTCAACAATTCTCGCTCATATAAACCTTCCTCTTTCTCGCTAATTGGACTCCCAGAGCTCCACCCGGGGCCTAGCCATGGATCTCTGCATCCAGATCCCTCAGTCTTTGGATGGGGTTTCTAGCACGACAATTAGGGTGTTTGGCCATCCCATCACCAGAGTAGGTCAGTTCATATGTCTAGATTTTTGCTACCAGAAATAAAAAGTACCATGTGTTTTCAGTGATAAATTCTGCGCCTGTACTTTGTAAACCTTTGTGTATTCTGCAGAGGGAGTTTGCAAGGCTGTTAATGAACTTTATGCATCTTCCTCTACAATAATCACATCCCTCTATCTGAAAACAAATTCATTTTTAGTAGCTAACAGTATATTTTAGCTCTGTTTATAGTTAAATGATGAAAAACAGGAACAGACATTCACAATAAAAACAGGAAAAAGCCAGAGAGGTTTATCTTTGTTTATTTATCCAGAATAACGAGGTGGGGTTCCACTTAAGCCCAAGACTGACACACGTGTGAAAAAAAGAGCCTCAGAATTAAAATGCCTTCTTAGTTTTAAAATCATCTGGCTTAACTGAGGAGAGAGCACGCTAATTTTACGTCTTAGCTGAAAGGTAGAACTTGGTACCCAAGGAACTGGTTTTACTTTAAGAAAAGTAAATTACTTATCAAATAATAAATTTGACAGCAAAGATCAAGGCAACCGTTTGCAAGCTAAAACAATTTTTTCAATTGCAAAACCATCTGGCTCAGAGCTTGCAATGATTCTCCTCTTTAAATTACTGATAGCATTTTCTCTGACAAACCAGTCTTTCCAAAAAGAATTGCATTGCCAAGCCCTTAGGCTTACTCCATTCTCTATGGCTAACCGCATTCACCATCCAGACAAAGCTTACGTTGCTTCTCTGATACAGTTGCGCTCCAGATCTCTTTCTTCATCCCTTTTAGGCCTCAGGACAATTTCTCAGCAATCTTGGGTCTCAGAAACCCCTATCTTCCTATCACGCCTTTCACAGAGGTGCAGCAGGATGATAGCCCAAGTCAGACATCTGGCAGGGTCATTCTAGAGCATCGATGAGGGGTGCACATGCTTGCGCATGGTAGTTAGAATAGGAAGGCAGAGCTAAATCTCACCTTGGGTGACTATAGGGTGGGAACTAAGTTATTGTACACACTAAGCATCAACTGGGTAATAATAAGATCACAGGTATTTTGTTTTGTGCAGTTCTAGAATGGCAGGCTCAATGGGCAAGACAAGATCATTTCTATGGACAGAGATGTATATTGTAGGGTAGATTCTTAGATGACAAGGAAAGCAATTCCATTTAGGTTAAGCCAAAAAGGATGATTTATAATTAGGACATGTGATTGTCTTGAAACTAAGGATGGGAATGAGGCTAGCCTTCCAAAATGACCAAAACTAGTAATTCAAAAGCCAGAATTATTTTCTTTATCTTCCCCAATTATATATATTTCATTCTTCTCTACATTTCTCTCTTCCTTTTTTCACAGATTCCAAATATATAATTCCTTGGGTCTAGTGATTCATAAAAGTCACCTTGCAGTTCAGATTCCCAATTCTGAAGCATTCATGGTCCCACCAGCCATGGGCTAAAGGGCTGTGCTTAGGAATGAGACTCCCAAGAAAAGAGCAAGAAGATGCTTAACAATCTGATAACAGCTGCTATTCGCTGGGTGTACACTAAGCATCAGCCTTTGGACATTAGAAAGTATCTGAAGGAAACTTCCTTAATAATGAGGAAATTGAGGCCCAGAGGGGAGGAGAGAGCTGGAGAGATGGCTCGGCTGCTAAAGGTTAGGCTCCCAACCAAAAATTTAAGAGGAAGGAGAACAGCTTTCCCATGTCACATAACTAGTCAATGATGAAATAGATTCATTCTTTTATTGCCATGTATCACAAGATCCGAGGCAGCTAGGAGTGAATGACAGCACCTATTTCTTTGTAATGTCCTGAGAGCCATAAACAATATAATATAGAGAGACTTACTAATATTGGAGTATTTCACTATTACATTTCATTCTCCTTGTATTCAGAATGAAATATCAATATTGATTTCCATCTGTTGATTCTAAAAGTAACACAAGCTTTTCTTTTTAAATAAGTTAAACGGAAGCCTAGAGTTTACAGAAGTAGAGAGTGAAGTAGAAAGGTGCCATTAGGAATCTAACTGTGTTTTTCCAATCAATTTTCAAGGCATATATACCTGCATGGTCAAAAAAGACCTGCTAAATAACAGTCTTTTCCCTTATCCAGAATTCTGAATTAACTGACAAGTGTGATAAAAGAATAACATAAAAGTCAAACGAATTCTTTTTAGTAATGATAGAGATGAGTTAAACATAGACTAGCGTGAATGCTAAAGGTGGCCACTAAGTGAGCCTTGGAATCATTCAACTCTCCCATCATAGTATCGGCACCGAAGATAGCGAGGAGGAAGAGAAATGAGTGAGTATTCCCTTTCCAGTTTCAAGGACAAAAAGAGACAGAGCTGAGACAGCTATTAATTATTTATTCTTCCTCAGTTTTCCAGTTATAAATGCTGGGTGTGGTGGTGCACACCCTTAATCCCAGGACTCAGAAGGCAGAGGCAGGTGTATCTCTGTAAGTACGAGGTTAACCTGGTCTACACAGCAAGTTCCAGGCCAGCCAAGGCGACACAGTGAAACTTTGTCTCAAAAAATTTCTCCAATTAAATAAGTCACCACAGTCTCACAAGGAAGTGAATAAAGCGGTGCAGAAAAGCTGATGGTGTGACTGAGTTCTCTTTGCCTAGTAGGGAGCATCAGGAGGCAGAAAATACATTTTTAAAAAGGTTTAAAGAATAGTACTATTCATGTTTTCTGCCATTTGCTTCCTTCCCACATACATGTAAATCCTTATGTGTAGTAGTCTGTGATACAGCAATACTTTATTTTATTTAGTCAGACCTCTGGTAATAGAAATTGAAAGTCTTACATTTTTACTACAGTGAAAATATTCTGACTCTATTTGGCACATTAGTCTAATTATCCTTTCAAAATTAGTTCCAAAACAGGGAAATAAATAAAACCATACACACACATACACACAAACACACTTACACATACATGTACATGCACACATATAAACATATGCACACTTCAAGATTAGCCCTATAAATGCAGTGTACATGTACCAACATGTCGAAAATTTCAACACTACATATAATCACTTTTTCTTGTTTTTGAAATCATAATAAGCAAACAATGATTATTTAATTTGTATTTCCTTTTCTTCGTGCAGCAGTAAGCACTGAACTCATGGCCTCAAGCCTGCTAGACAAACATCCTACTGCCGAGCTACATCCTCAGCTGAGTTTCTTTAATTACAATAAAGCTGCACATTTTCGTTTTTTCCGTCTCTTCCATTAGAAGAACATTATTGACTGTCCTAACATATGGAGTCAACTATTTATCAGAATACAAGACACCTTTAAGTATCTAAGCAGCAAATTTGGCTTTAAAACATTGTGAAAAATTGATAGTGTTATTTGGCCCAGTGGATATACCAGATAGATTACAATGTGTGATCTCCAAATCAATGCTCAGTCTGTATATGTGCAGTGGATAATTACTGCAATAAATGCAGACTTGACATTTCATAGAAGGAACATAGTGCATTAGGCCTGTGTCCCAGGGGCCTTGTTGCATCAGGAACTTAGAAACCATGAAGCACAGGAGGCCAAATGAGTTGGCCCTAGAGTTCCACCTTCCAGAATTCACATGAAGAGCAGAGGGTGCAAGATTTTGTCTTCCATTTTTCCAAGAAGGAGTCCAC